CAGCTGCCCCTCACAGGACTTGTGCTCCAGACCCTCCCCCAGCTCCGCTGCTCTTCTCTGCACACGCTCCAGCATCTCAGTGTCTGTCTTGCAGTGAGGGGCCCAAAAGTGAACACGGTGCTCAAGGTGTGGCCTCACCAGTGCCAAGTACAGGGCACAATCATTTCCCTGCTCCTGTTAGCCACACTGTTCCTGATGCAGGCCAGGATGCCATTAGCCTTCCTGGCCACCTGGGCACACTCCCAGCTCAGGTTCAGCTGGCTGTCAACTAACAACCCCCAGTCCTTTTCTGCCCAACAGCTTTCACCAGGATGCAGGTAGCACACTTAATCCACTAGCACACTCGCGTAAGTGCCACCATAATACCAGAAGGTTTCAGAAAGAATTTTAGCCAGAACATTCGTTTGCGTTATCCAAGATGAGACAGCCACATGATTTCAGACCTCCCTTGAAAGTCTCCAACACAATTATCAATAGGTAATGGGGATCAGTAAATTTGTCACGACATGCTATATCATGGGTTGCTGTTTTGATTTTAATAATGAAGAGTGTCAACAAAACCTTCCACATACCAAGTAGAAAGTTTCTGGGCAATTTAATAGAGCCTTTGGAACTTTCCCTTCTTCAAATCTGCTCATGTTTCAGCATGCAGGTCTGCCTGTTTCCAGGTCTGTAAGGGTTCATCTCCACTGAGTATAGAGGCAAATAAGAACTCCAAGACATGCAATAAAAACTTTGATCTGTGACTTTAAAAAGTACACATACATAAACCAGGACAAATCTTTTTGTACTGTTAGTTATGATACACTGAAAATACAAAACCTTAAGGGGAACTTAACAACATGGATATCTAAGATATTAGTACTAAAAGCTCTTCCTTGACTTGCTACAACAGCACATGCAGAATTTTTAGCTCAGAGCACAGGTTTACATGTAAGGGTTTGTGGGCTGTCCTATACCCAGATCTCCAAAAGTTAGGAGTGGCACAAAAGGAGTGGCACGACCGCTTGATGGATAAAGAACTGGCTGGATGGTCACACTCAGAGTGGTGGTCAATGGCTCAGTGTCTGAGTGGAGATCGGTGATGAGCAGGGTTCCTCACGGGCCAGTGTTGGGACCACTGCTGTTTAACTTCTTCATTAGTGACGTGGATGGTGGCATTGAGTGCACCCTTTGCAAGTTTGCCAAGGACACCAAGCTGTATGGTGGAGTTGACACGCTGGAGGGAAGGGATGCCATCCAGAGGGACCTGGACAGGCTGGAGAGGTGGGCCACTGCCAACCTCATGGAGTTCAACAAGGCCAAGTGCAAGGTCCTGCACCTGGGTCGGGGCAATCCCAAGCACAAGGACAGGCTGGGTGGAGAATGGATAGAGAGCAGCTCTGAGAAGGACCTGGGGACACAGACAGACGAAAAGCTGGACATGAGCCAGCAGTGTGCACTGGCAGCCCAGAAAGCCAACCATATCCTGGGCTGTATCCAGAGAAGTGTGGCCAGCAGGTCGAGGGAGGGGATTCTGCCCCTGTACTCTGCTCTGGTGAGACCCCACCTGGAGTGCTGCGTCCAGCTGTGGAGCCCTCAATATCAGAAGGATATTGACCACTTGGAGCGAATCCAGAGGAGGCCACGAAGATGATCAGAGGGCTGGAGCCCCTCTGCTGTGATGAAAGGCTGAGAGAGTTGGGCTTGTTCAGCCTGGAGAAGAGAAGGCTCCGAGGAGACCTTATAGCACCTTCCAGTACCTGAAGGGGCTACACGGAAGCTGGGAGGGGACTTTTTACAAGGGCCTGTAGTGACAGGACAAGGGGTAATGGGTTTAAATTGAAAGTGGGGAGGTTTAGATTGGATATCAGGAAGAATTTCTTCCCAGAGAGGGTGGTGAGGCTCTGGAACAGGTTGCCCAGAGAAGCTGTGGATGCCCTATCCCTGGAAGTGTTCAAGGCCAGGCTGGATGAGGCTTTGAGCAACCTGGTCTAGCGGAAGGCGTCCCTGCCCATGGCAGGGGGGGTGGAATGACATGATCTTTAAGGTCCCTTCCAACCCAAATCATTCTATGACTCTATGATTCTATGAAAAGCTGAGACAAAAGATAAAAATTACAAAGCAAGTCAATTTTTCCTCTGCTAAGGACATCGCTGTGCTTTCAGCTGTGATGAAGAAACAAAGTAACACTGAATATCAATAACTACTTATTCAGCGTTGCAAGCCCAGGTGTAAAGGGGAAAAAAGTGTTTATAAAGTATTTATGTTGTTTACTGCTGAGATCATTTTTCAGGCTGTCGGGGTTGTTTTTTAAGTAAGATTTATCTTCTCAAAAACTGCCTTCTTTTAGATTCATCACACAATTATTTATTATTTATTGCGTGACAGCACTTAGATCTACACCAGGGTCTTTTTGCACCAGACTGAAAAGCACAGAGAGGTAATACCTGCCCCAGTTATGCCTGGGATAAGGAAATAATTTCTTAAGAGCACTCCAGTTAAACAAGGTCTTTGCTTGTAAATAATATTGTTAGGACAATAAATACCCCCATTCCCCATTTACAGGAACAGAAGAGGACAGGAGAAAAAGATGTCTTCAAGACTGCTTGTTAATTTAGCAGGCTTATTACCAGAGACAGTCATGTAGCAGTACGGAAGTAATTCACTCATACTAGAGACAATACTACAATAAATACTGATGATCAAGAGTGCTAACACAGCTGCACAAAATACCTGAGGAACAAGAGTAAAAATGGTATATAGTATTAACAGATAGCAACTGTTCTTGAACAGGAAAACTAGCATACACGGTTTATTCATCACAAAACCTCCACCGTATTTTATTTAAATAGCCTGGCATCTGTTTACTGGCAAATGGCAGATCAACTCATTGCATACACAGACCAGATACTGGACAGTACCGAGTTTCATGCATGATTGAGCTTGAAGGGATTCAAACTGGTGACCTAGAAAATAAAAGCTCTGCATAACATTACTGCAATCAAATCACATCCAGCGTGCACACAATCCAACGAGTCATTTATGGAAGTGACAAGACAACTGAAGAGTTACCTATGAATGTCTGTTGTGCCTGTGAATTTCCTCCTACCCTTGGGGAACACGAGTGAGGGTAGTTAGATGCATTAGCACCCATTTTCTTCAGTCACTCAGGCATTCCGCCTGCTGGCTCTTCAATGTATAATCCCATAATCCTTTATAAATCTTCAATCCCAGGCCCAGCATCCTGTTCCTCCATTTCTGAAGAACAAAAAACACCAGTAAGTTACCTCATTTTTTTTTTTAGTAGGTATTATGTGATTTAGATAAAATAAACTCAGCCTCCAGCACATAGTATTTTCATAAATTAAAACCCCAAATGTGTCCAAGATAGTTTAATCTTTCAAATAAAAAGCTAAAAGACTTTTTTTCCAAAATAATTTGAAATTTTCCAAACCATTCACAAAGCATTTTGACAAACTGCTACAAGCAACAGGATGGCTATCAATCATTTAGCTATGAAATCTTCAAGTAGGAGTTGGTCTAGAAGATGTATGTTCCTTCAACTATTGCAGGAAAGACTTTTCCTACCTAATGATATGCTTACATACTGTTATAAAAAATCCAAAATTGAATTATACTGACTGAGAAAGCAGAATAAACCACTCCCATTGGAGGTTATACTATCATCATTGTTTTCAGCTGCATTTTGATTTCATATCATTTATGTAGTTCTCATTCAGTCCTACTTTTCAAGCTCAGACTAGGACCTAGAAGTAGGTTTATAATAGTAAAAACAAGGCATTTAAACATTCACCCACTATTTTATTAGACATTTGAAAACATGTTAGGAAGTCAGTTCTGAAGAAATTTGAACAAGAATTCATGGCCAAACACCATAACAAGCATATTCCTATTTATTCCTATGTTAGCAGTGTTAAAATACTAATGCTGCAAAATGAAAGTTACTCCAAAGAAGAGCTGCTTACTGCCAACTACTAATGCTGCAAAATGAAAGTTACCCCAAAGAGCTGCTTACTGCCAATTGAACACGTGCCCCCATCCAATGCAGAGATAAAGAGTGATACAAGGGTAAAGTCTATACTACCGTGCCCCCATCCAATGCAGAGATAAGAAAGAGTGATACAAGGGTAAAGCCTATACTATGCCCTTTTTCAGTCTCCATTCAATACTGTGAACATGTAGCTAATACGGTGTTGTCACAGGTATACCTGTATTTGCTATGTGCTCCCAACTTTTACCTCCTTTCTCAGTGCACCTTTGGCATGTTAAATCAGACAAGTAAGCGCCATGCAAGCATGCGTGTTTCAAGGAAGCTGCAGCACTGCTCCAGCCTTCTCCCTGCTTTGATAATCTGTCCATTTCTGGCCTAAGGAGTTCAGAAGCGAGTTACTGTTGCACTGGGGAGGTGAGATATGATTCTACGTGGAGAGGAACACCTGGCCTTTTAGTCAGAAACGCAGGATGCAAAGCAGATCCTGGGGAGCAGAAAGACAGGCCAGGAAGGAGAAGGCTGGAAACCGCTGTAGGCACAGCGTGGGGGCAACCAGTGCCACAGGGTTCAAGGGCTGGCTACATGAGGAGGATGAGTAGAGAAGGGTTTGGAAACCTGGCTTAGAGACGTGGGTATGTGAAAAGGCGAGACACAGGCACGGGACCAAAGCATTATGGAAGCATGAGAGGGTGTATGACTTCCAACCATCTGAAGCCTTGGAATAGGGTTCCTAAAAATCAGGTCTTCCGGCATTTGTGGTCTATGACATCAGATGTTTTCAAACCGAAGCCACACCACCTCACGCTGCTAGACATGACAGACAGGCAAGCCACTGCTCTGCAGAGCACATAGCCCCGGTCTGCCCCAAACGGCTGTGGCCTGCTGATCACCAGTGAAGTTAGAACCAGAACACACGCAAAATGGGCAACACCGCAGCAGCAAACAGCAGTACATCTCAGCAAACACAAGCTGTTGGACCCATTCAGTCTTAGCCAATGCACATACTCATCTTCTTCCTTGTGCAGAAATAACCTAGCAATTCTAAGATAACCAAATCCATATGGATGCAGGCCGCTTCTCCATACACCAAAAGCTCTAATTTAAGAAAAAGAACACTTAGAAAATAATTTCATTAAAACAGTGACACTCCAAGTGGTCTGTGTAGCCAAACAGAACATGTTCCCTAAATGTGCTGTCCATTTCCAGATGGAATCAGTCACATTTGCTTGCACTGAGAGTTACCTTTCAGTCTGAATGACAACTCTCCCACAAATAAAGACCACCATCCTGAGTAGACATCCTAACAACTTCCCTTTTCTCAGCTAAAATTGGACTCAGTTCATTTGCACAGTCCTGGAGCAACACCATCGCATTCCACTTTCCTCTGCTGTGTCACGATAAACTGTCTATTGGATGTCTACTACTACTTTTTGGTTCTTCCTGACACAGGAAAGGGTGCAGGAGGTAACTAAAAGAGGAAAAAGTGTGGGGTTTGGGTTGGTGGTTGTTTGTTTTGGGTTTTTTTTTGCTACCAAGCACTGAATATACATAACCAAGCCTCAGGTTTGAGGTTAATACCTTCCATCTCCTTCCACTTGGCAAGAGGCATACCCCAGAAGATGGAAGGAATGTGGTCAAGGATTATACGCAACTGTTTGATAACTTTAGCATTCAGTGCTTAAATTTGCAAGACAAAAGGATTTAAATAAACTGAAAAACATAAACACTATAAAGAGTTCTTTACCTTCAGAGCCTTCAGAGGCTTACTACAAGAACACTGTTACACAAGCCCAAGTGAGTACAATGCAGAATTAATTCACTCACTGAATTCAAAATATGTAACTTCGGTAATGTTGGACAATGCAAAAACAGTGTCATATTAAAGATTTATACATAAACATATTCCTTTATATAATATACAGATGTACTTTATATAAGTTTATTTACATAAGGAAATGCAAACACGCCAGTCCCAGTGGAAGAGAAGAGCAGAGTAGAGTAGGCACTGTGCTGAGCCAGTTACAGATGCCAACACTTCCTGTGCCTCCTGTCAACCGTAACCATGCGCTGCTTGGTCTCATCTATGCTGCCTGAGAGTATTTTGTCTTTAATTCCTACACGTCATAGTCCATGACGAAGCATATTGTGTCCCATGGCTCAAAACTGATCATAGCTTTAGTCCCACTACTGTCTTTAACCTCTTCTATCAACTGGAAGTGCAATCTTTGTGTATTTTATTACATCACTAAAATTTACAGGATGATATTGTATAACCCATGTTGTACTTCCCAAACAAATTAAGCTGGCAGCAGTGATGAACTCTGCTCTGGAGAAAGCCGTGCTTTTCTCTCTTCATTCTCATATCCACATTCCCTACCTTGTTTGTTCTGGCCCAAATATGCCAGGAACCAGATCAACTGACCCATGTTAAAACCAACCTAGACAGAAAGTTTAAACACTAGCAGTTTCACAGCTGGCTTATTACGGCATCACATGAATACTTGTGCCAGCTTTTTATTTTTGTTCAGCTTGTTATGTTTTGCTAGTGTCCCAGCCTCTACACTAAACTTAATCCACCTGCCACACACGTCAGGCTTGCACAAAACCCACCGAGCCTAGTACCGATGCAAATACACCTCAGCTACTGCAGAAAATGCTGAATCAAGAACACTGTTGCCCATGGTGAAAGACAGCTGAAGATGCATACAGAAAATGAAGAACCACCCCAAACCATAAACAATTAGTTAAATAGGAAAGAAGGATTTCATCTTTCTTTGCAGAAGTTATCCTGCATAGCAAAATCTTCCCTATTTCGGCTTAGCTAAAGAATTTTCTTAATCTAGTTTTAGCCTCGGAATACAATTGTGGAATTTTGTTTTAAGAACTCTCATCAGGTGAACTTTTTCTTGCCTTTCTGTTAAGAGTTTATATGCATCCACATTATCAGAGGGAAACTACCTCCAACGTCTGCTAACCTACTGAAAGAGGATCTCTTGTTGAGACCAGGGACACACAGAAGTGTGCTATGTATGTACACAGAAAAGTTAAACTATGCCAAAGCTTGTTTAAAAAAAGCTTGCACTGCAGAAATAGTATATGAAGCGTGCTATATGAAACCAGGAAGCTTTAGAAGCCAAAATTACCATCCCAAATGCTACAAAAAGCACAAAAGCGACTTTCAGATCATACTGATACTTATGAGCAGAATAAAGTCTAAAATAAACACCAGTCTAGTAAAAAGTTTCATACCTGAAAAGTTTCTCAGTCTTCGCAATACTTGTTACACTGAACCTCAAATCCTAAGAAGCTAAGATGACTTGCATCTGAGGTGTCTGGGCTGAGGGCCAGGAATTCCTGGATTGGGAATTTTGATTTAACAAAAAGTCTGTGTACAGAATGGACTCTGAGTAACAATCACACTTTGTTTATAGTCATCACTCAGTACAAAGGTTTCATAAAGTTTTCTGTAGTCAAATGGCATCCAGTTAATATAAAAGGGCAAGGTGGGGAGCATTGCAACATGTTTTACAACCAAAAACATTTGACTTTTTCGCCCTCTTTAAGACCTTCCTGTATTTCTTTGGGAGTTTCTGCCGTAGAATTATGAAACGGCATACTACTAAGACCAAAGTAGGAAACACATCAAGTACATGCACATACTTGCATCAACATGATTTTTCAGGTTTTACATTTTATTTAACACAACTTAAATTTACAAGTAAATGTCAACACAGGTATCACAAGCACACCTTATTCGGATTTGCTCAGATTTTTATCCAGACCAAAAATGTTATGCGATTTTGCCCCAACAGTTCAAGTAACAAGGAAGTGGACCTGGAACGCAACATGCAGCAGCTGGTACATTGGGGAGGGGGGAGTGTGTGGTGGTGGGGTGTGTTAAAAAAAATTATAACACCCTAAAAAAACCCCAAACAAACCCCATGCTTCTTTTAAAAGCTATGATCCCAGTACATCCACTAAATTTTGGCAAGAACAAACCTATTTTCATAGAGAACAGGTAGATAACTAACAAAGAGAAAGACCTTGTGAGAAAGGACCCCTGCCATTGTCCCTGAGGCACATCCACCACCTCGCCTCAACCACCTGAACCTGCCTCCAGCACAGCAATGGTTCGGTGACCA